CTGTGTTGCCAGACCTGCTGTAAAATAGTGAAGGTACTGGACAAAAAAAAAATGCATTCGTTCATTCTTTTAATTACTTGGCTGCTTGCTGTTTATGCTTTAAATTCAGTCAGTTTGGACAATGGGTTTAGATCTGCACTGACATTATGCGGCAGTGTTAGTGTTGCAAACACTGCAGGGAAATGTTCATTTTAGTACCTGTTTTTACAGTGAAAACTCACATAGAAAAATATATTGTTCAGTTTCATCAGAAATGTAGTAAGGTGATTTGGGGCCGGGCAAGATTGCCTCAATAATGAGGTGATTGGACTGATTTTTTTTTTTTGGAGTACTTGGATGTACTGCTTTTGTAACATGTTTTTCATTTAGAATTTGACGGAGGGACCGTCTTTGAGCCAGCTATGTGTAGTGATTACAGGAAGGAAAATTATAGCAGTGGGTTGAAGCTAAAAGGCTTTTGAAGAGACAGAATCATGGAATTCATTCTAATTAATTACAAAAATATTGTTAAGAAAAAACCCCACACATGACGTGGTGAACCTCTGAGATGGATTTAATTTTTCTGTGTCTGGGTACCTTACTCTTCCCTGGCTTCATGGTTGTTTTTGTGTTGTTGTTTTGGAGAGTAGATGCTATTAAAATGAGCTGAAAACCTTTTTGAAATGGACCTTGGAACAAGAAGTTAAGACTAGTCTTTCAAGTCGTCTATTCTTGTCTTGTAGATGTTTGTGCTTTGAAAGTTTATCTGCATTTGATGTCCTGTAGAAACCAGTGGCACTACTGCTTAAACCTGAAGTGTATGCATAAATGTTGAATTTGGGCCTTGAATGTTCATTATTCTAGCTCTGCTTGATGTATTTGCAAGCTGACAGTTAACTGCATTTGGAAGCCTAGACTTAATACTCAGTTTTAAGTCCCTGTTTGTTTGGGGTTTTTTTGTGTTTTCCCTGCCTTATTGCTTTTATTGTCATTCATGTTTATACTTTTGTATTAGAGTTTTAATTTCTGCTTCAAGTAGGACTATGACTCATAAAACTGACTAAAACTCATAAACATTGCTGTTTGCAGGCTTTGCAAAATGGTATTTCTCTTCCTGAGGTTTTTGGCCGACGTGTGCATCATCCTCACAGAACTGCTGTATGGACCTACCCAGGGTTGCTTTTTGCTAGAGGAGTTACTTTTGAGGTTGTGATTCCCTGGAGATAGGAAGAGTAAAAATCTGTAAAGTAGTAACAACAAAAGGGCAAAGTTAATGGAATTAGGATGCTGTAAATTTGGACTGGAATCCTGGTTTTACTACGGATTCACTTTGTAATCTTGGGCAAATCACTTCCCTGCTTCAGTTTTCTACCTTTTTGTAATTACTTATTTTTCTTCATGGTAGTGACTATCCATTGTTTAGGGTAAGGGATTCTGACTTTGGATGATAGTTTGATACGATCACTAGGGGCATTTAGATAATTTTGATATAAATAGTTACAGGAAAAGTGGAATTAGGTGACAGGGATTTCTAATGGTAGTATTAATAATGATGCTATTGAGCAAGGAAAGGTTGTAAAATATGAGGTGGTTTTTGGTTTGGTGATACTTAGCACACTGTTAAATCATGGCTCTTATAGCTTAAAATAAAAAAAATTCTCTGGTTCTTAAATTTATGGTCACAACATGATTGTAAGTTTGTACTGACGGTAAATATAAAATACAGCAGTAGAAAGCAAAACTAAGTTATCTATTGCTGGGAGTTCTTTTTATTAAGTATTCAAACCCAGGCTTGATTTTAAGTTCTTGAAAGTGGTGCTTGCAGCCAGAGTTGCTGCTTTGATGAGTTTGAGGCCTGTGCAGCCAGAAAGAGTAGTCATGCATCAGGAACCCACTGTGTTATAAAAGTAATGTTTGGAGCTCATTCTATTAAAAAAAAAAACCACCACAACCAAAACCTGAGTTTGATACATGTATGTGCCTGTACATGCCTTTTCTTTGATGCCAGAACAATGCTTCATAGACTTAATGAGGTACTGTACTTGTATTTTAATGGTTGTAGACTATTAGCAGCATTGTGAGACTATGTTAACTTTTAAGAAAACTTAAATAGCTTTAGTACTAAGATTTTAGGACGGTCTTCTTTAAAATAAAAACTCATCGATGTTTTACCTGAAATGTCTCTTGTAAGCTATTTGCTCCAGATGTAGTCATCTGGGTAACGGATGAGTTGTGATAGGAAGTTCTGTTTTGTTTTTCAGTTATGACTACCGAGCTAGCTGTATTAACTGCCCGTTGGTGACCAGATTTACATTGACCAGCATTTCTTTAAGCAAAGCAGAGCGATTGAGAGGAACTCGTATACTACGAATCTGAAAAGAAATGAAACTTCAGTTAGAAGGGAGGAAACTTCAGTTATATCCTGCGTAGTGGGATCCTAAATGGAGTAAGTGGTGGGATGCAATACATCAGCAGTGCACTGTGGTTGCCCAATTACTTGCAAATAAGTCCTGGTCTTTCTGTAAAGCAGCCTTTTTGCCAGGATTTAGGAGTCTTGAGAGTCCTGTTATTCTAGTAGCGTTGTGGAAAAGAAACAGAAAGGAGTAGTTTTCCGAGCTACTGAACAGAAGCTAAAAGTCTAGAAACCCAAGTTTCATATTTAGAAGGGCAGACAGCCTTTTGGCAAAGGTAAAGGCCATACAGTAGCGTGTTTGTAGAGAGCACTCCTGACTATGTTCACATAATACTCATGATTGCTAGAGAAACTTTCTGTGTTTATTCGCTCTCTGAAGTTTTGATTTCTACAAAGCTTAGGCAAAAATTCATTTGTCATCCGTTTCCTCTTCTATATGGTTGTTTCAAAGTAACAATGTTACTTTCCTGCTTAAAATATTTACCCAATTGTGTTTGAATAAGGGGAGGTGGTGGAGGGGTTGGGGTCAGGAAATGGAATCTTGATGTGGAATTATCCCGCAGCTAGAGCCAGCATCTGTGCAGCGTGGAAAGCTCTATGTCCTGTATTCTGCTAATATTGAAAATTTAGGTGTTATCTGTTGAAGGTCTGAGTGGTTTTCTGTACTGGTATTAGTGATTTCGTGTAACCTGAAAAGTTGCGTAAATCATCATGAAGTCATACATGTCGGAACATTTTTAAAAGGTAGACCACCTCAGATTATTTATCCTATGTGTTTGTTTATTTGTTCTTGCTTTTAGTACATCAAGTGTAATTTAAGGCAAATGGTCTTAGTCAAGATTTTTTTTAGTGACTATTTGTAAACACTTAATGGAGCTCTTCACAAGTAAAAAAACCTGATAGCGCCATGGCCAATGGTACTTGGAAAGCCTGTTTTTTTAATAAACATGTTCTTTGTTCTTCCTGCCCTTCCCCCATGTCTCCTACACAATAATCCTCTCCCTCCTCATGTGCCTTGCAATACCCTTAGCAGATAGGACACATGCTTTGGCATGTCTGGCTTCTCTGGTATATAATAATTGGTCAGCTGGCTACTGCCAAACAGGGTATTTAATAGAGAAGTTATGTATGTGGGGACATTGATTTGAGTTTTCACACGACTTGTCAGAATCTGGTTAATCACTAAGAATTCTTTGTTTTCAGTTTTCCTGGAGTCTGGCCATAATGTAAAAATTATCTGGAGTAGAAGAATGGGAAAAACAAAACGTTGCTATTGCTTTTTAAATGGAGTGTAAGTGAATCAGATTACTAAGTAGTTGATGGTATCCCGTGGCTGATGGTAGTATTGTCGTTATGATATGAAAGGATTTGGGCTTGTCAGAGTTCTGTAGAGAATAACGAGTCTATTGGAAACAGATTTTGTTGGTTCTGAGGAGTAATTGAAATCACTATTGACTTTTGCTGTGCTTAACCGTGAGTGGTATGGACACCCCTTGTATATCTTGTTTTACTGTTAAAATGTTCTTTTATTGGACAGCTGTATATTGCCACCTCATTAGCTTTAGTACAAAAGAGAGATTCGTAACAAATTCAAATAGCAATTTCAGCAACATTGCTTCTGTTTCCTTTCACAGCTTTAAGAGCAAGCATGGGTTTTAAAAACTTGTAGGCAAAGGCTGTAAAATTGATGTATGAATGAGTGGTGACAGAGGAATCATGGACTAGGTAATCCAGGGAAGATTTGGGAATAGATGACAAAAGTGAAAATAACTGTGGCAGGGACATGGAGGTAGGAAACTAATATGAAATCCAAATAGTAAAACCAGTAATGACAAGTGGAGATCAGGAGTACTGGATTTTATGGTGTACTGAGGTTGGAGAGACATTAGGAGATGGCAGCTATTTAAAGGTAATTAGGCAAGGTGAAAGTACCCTTCTCATTACCTGGTTTCTTTTTTTTTTTTTCAATGCAGTATGGAGGATGATACAAAACTTGTTTCATTTTGAAATTGCCTGCTCCTAGGAAATTTTGAAGAATATTTAGAGGTTTAGTTTTTGCATTATCTCATTTTAGAGAGCTAAAGTGCTCTTGTTCACAACTGACCAACTGCAGGGCTGATGCTTGAATTTTGAAGTTTTTATGGCACTTTAATATATTCCACTAGCTTATTTAAGGCATTCTTTCCTCATATAAACTTTGTAAAGTTTGTGTTTCTCAACCTTTCTTAGCAGTCTTCCTTTTGAAGAGTGGAAGCGGTTTATGTGACAGATAAAGGTTACATTTGGGTCAGGATTTTAGTTTGGCTCGAGAACCTATACTTGACCCAGTCTCCTGGTGGTTCTTGTGTGCCGTGCTTCGATTTACATCGTGAGGTGGTTCTGGAGCACACAAACTGGTTTACTTTTTGGTGAAAGTAAATTGAAAGATGTGATCTCAATGCTGATGAGCATTCAGTCCACTGGGCTTGAGCAGAGCTAGTCTGAAGCATTAGAAATAACGTCTCCTTCCCTCCCCGCAAATGTGTGTGGGGCTAACATCGGGTCCTTGGTACTGAGTTTTGGTGAGCAGATGGAGACCACAGTGATGCAGGTTGTCCCCTTGCAGCCGATGGAGGGCCACAGTGGAGCAGGTATCCACACTGCAGCCCATGGGGAGCCCCATGCTGGAGCAGGTGGACATGCCCTGAAGGAAACTGCAGCCCATGGAGAGCCCATGCTTGAGGAATGTTTTCCTGATGGACTGCAGGCTGTCGAGAGGATCCATGCTGTGGCAGGGGAAAAGTATGAGGAGCTATTATGGACTGACCATAACCCTCCATTCCCCATCTTCACCAAAAGTTTTTCACCAAAAGGGTTGTCGGGCATTGAAACAGGCTGCTCGGGGAAGTGGTGGAGTCCCCATCCCTGGAGGTATTTAAAAGATGTGTAGATGTGGTGCTTAGGGGCATGGTTTAGTGGTGGACTTGGGAGTGCTAGGTTACTGGTTGGACTGCATGATCTTCAGGGTCTTTTCCAACCAAAATGATTGTATGATTCTACCTCCCCTGGGGAGAAGCATGGAGATGGAGGAGTTGGGGATGAAGAAGTGAAGTTATGTCTGGGAAGGAGGAAGGGTGTAGGGAGAAGGTGTTTTAGTTTTTGTCTTTCTTACCATCCTCTTATTTTTCATTGGCTATAAATTTAATTTCCCCTAAGTCAAGTCTGCTTTGCTTGTGATGGTAATTGATAACTGATCTCATTTTTGTCTTGACCTACAAGCTTTTTCATTTTATTTTCACTCCCCATCCTATTGAGGGGTAAGAGAGAGAGCAGCTGGGTGGGCCTCTGGCAGCCAGCCAAGGTCAACCCACCACACTTGTGTACCTGTAATACCTAGTTCAACTTAAAAAAAAATCTTTCAACCTTCTTTAAAACATACTGTTGATTTAAATTGTTCATTTTGTATTATGAACATGAATAAGAGTTTAGCTATCATATTTTATGATCCAGTAGTAGCACCTTGTTTTACCATCTTTTTCTAGCAGGTGAAGTTAAAACTCTGAGTCCACTGTCACCAGAGGCATACAAATCTACTTCTCCCTCCAGATCTCTAGAGCAGTGGTTAAACTTTCTGTAACAGGATTACTTGCCTGCTCCTGCCCTGCAATGCTTTGTTTGTCGTGCCAGCAGTGTTGTGCAGCGCCACAAAGAATGGGATTGGGAAACCAATCCAACTGAACATTTTTCCTCCTGGCTGTTTTCCAGCCGGGTATGTTTCTTGATCCAATTTACAGCTCAGGTCTGCAAAAACCTTTTGCTGGGCATAATGGAAAGAATGGAGCAGCATGATCAGGTGAGGCATGCACTTGAAGTGGGTGTTGCTGCTGGAATCATGTGTCAGGGAATGGATGAAGAAATGCTATATCTGTCAGGGTGGTGTTTAGGGATCTATGAGATAGAGATGTGACTCTTGATCAGGGACTCCAAATACAGACGTGCACTGTTCTCTTAAGTGCCAGACAGTATAGTCAGTAAGTGACTTTTGAGTCAAGTATCTTCTTATTTTTTAATTTTTTTTTTTATTGATCTTCCCTAGGGAAGTTTTTCTCCGTTTTTCCACAGCAGCTTTTGCCTCACTGGCTAGAAATACTTAGTTTTTATTTAAGTTTACTGTGAGATGACCTGGTTCTGTATTACATGACTCCTGATTAGACCTCTCTTTTGCCCTCTTTGCTGATACTTGGGCAAATTGAAGAATCCTGCAGCACCCAATTCCTTGGTCCTTTTATATCTACAATAAATGTGATCCTTGTCAAACTGCCTTCCCTGAAGTTCAGCAACCAGAGATGTGTAACTTATCTGTTTCTGTGTGAAATACCAATTTAGGAATGAATTTTTTAAAAAAACAAATACCACCCCTCAATCCCAAGCACCATAGCTAGTTAGACTTTTTAAGCAAGGCAACAGAACACCTTTTAATGCACCTGCTCTTGAGGACTACCAAAATTAGTAAAATGGTTCAATACGGTTCATAACAGTGAGGCAGCTACCGCAAGACCATAGCTAATACTATCCTTTTGAGTATTACGGATAAACCAGGCATCAAAGTCTTAGTGTATGTAACAAGAAAGATAGCTTTCTCCTTGATGTTAACCCTCTGTCTTGGGAATAAGGTCATTGATGGAGTTGTGGGGGGGAGAAGATGTCTGAGTGATTTCCAAATTCTTGTTTTGTAGAAAAATAGCATTTTTAGTTGTTGTTACTAGGCAGCAAATACTTTTTAGATGTAGGAGATTAGTTAAAAAGAATCATTATGGTATACGAGGTGTGTTGGCTGGCAGTTGGAGTTGGCAAATAATGTTATGGGTTGTAGGACTTCTCTGTGCCAGACCTTCATAGTTTCAGCACAGACTTTGTGGTCAAGGTATGGATGCCGCCTTAGTCATGAACTGCTCCAGAAATTACAGCAATCATTTAGTGTAATGTCAGCAGTTTCAGGGCTTTTGTTGTCACTGAAGGCTATCTTTGACTGTCCTGAAGAGCTGCTCAGATCTCTGCGGTGCTTTGTGCAGTCTTTGCTCCAAATGTGTTGCCTTTTCCAGCCTTAACTAAATGTTTATTTCAATGTTCATGCATGAGGCCAGAAATCTTCCTAAATAAATTTATAATCAAGGCTGGATGAGGGTGGTCTGAGAAGCCTTCTTGATTAGGAGAAATGAACATGAGATGATTTTGCTGACGTTCAGAGGGACCTTGGCAGGGTGGAGAAGTGGACCAACAGGAATCTCATGTAATTCAACAAAGGGAAAGGCCGAGTCCTGCACCTGAGAAGGAGTAACCCCTGCATCAGTACATGCTGGAGACAACTGGCTGGAGAGCAGCTTTGCAGGAGAGGACCTGGGGATCCCAGTGGACAACCAAATGACCATGAGCCAGCAATGTGCCCTTGTGACAATGAAGGCCAGTGGTATCCTGGGCTGCATTAGGAGGAGCGTTACTAGTAGGTCAAGGAGGTGATCCTTCCGCTCTACTCAGTACTGATGAGGGCACACTTGGAGTGCTGGGTCCAGTTCTGGGCTCCCCAGTGCGAGAGACATGGATCGACTGAGTGTGTCAAGCAGAGGGCTGTTTTAAGGGATCTTAAGGCATCTGGTATGTGGAGAGGCAGAGGGATCTGGTGGTGTTTAGCCTGAAAAGGGGAGGCTCAGGGGAATCTTAAGAGTGCATATAAATACCTGATGGAGGTTGTAAAGAGGATGGATCCGGGTTCTGTTCGGTGGGGTCAGGGAACAGGACAAGAGGCAATAGGCACAAACTGAAATACAGGAATTTCCGCTTAAGCGTGAGAAAAAACCATTTCTGCTCTAGGGGTGGTTAAACACTGGAACAGGCTGCATTGTGGAGTCTGCGTTCTTGGAGATGCTCAAAATCTGACTGGGTATGGTCCCGGGCAGCCGGCGCTAGTTTACCCTGCTTTGAGCAGCGATGGTTGGAGTAGACAATTTCTAGAGGTTAGGCAGCCGCCGCTAGTTTACCCTGCTTTGAGCAGTGATGGTTGGAGTAGACAATTTCTAGAGGTTACTTCCAACCTCAGCTATTACGTGATTCTGTGAAATGATTAGGCAGGAAGGTATTTCCTTCAGTTTTGCCTCTCCAGCTGTTGATTTTTCATCACTGCAGGTGGCTCAACTGTTGGACACAAGTGACTAATAGGTTTATAGTAAATTTGGCAGTCATTTCCAAAAGCATCCCTTCTGGAGGGGACAAAACCTGGGTTTTTTCCTCACTAATTTCAGAGTGATCTGGGTTTTTTTGCCTTTTTTTTAAGGGTGACTAACTGGGAAAATTCTGCTATTCCAACATTTTAGTGCTCGTTTTTATCTTGTGCTACAGACTGAATGCCAGTGCTACTGTCTTCTATTGCTCAATTTTTTCCAAACAGCAGCAAAATTTGATTTTTTTTTTTTTAAATAAGCTTGTGGCTGCCTAGTGTATTCAGAATGTGTGGATGGAAACTGTCTGTGACTGATGACTTTCGCTCTGCTGTAGCTTGGCAAAGCTGTAGGAGTAAGTAGTCTGGAGAGCTCAGTTTTTGTGGAAGGCTGGGCTGAGCACATGCTGGTGGGTTACATCTGGTCTGTCTTTGGCACATTCTTTTCAAAAAAATCAACATATAAAGCGGTAAAATGCTTCAAAAGTGGTAACAGATTTTCATGAAGCTAATGGCATCTATCCAAGAGAGCTTAATTTTTTTCTATACAAAAAAGAATAGAGATAATCACTTTTCCACTATAGAAAAGGTGTAAGTCAAACCAATGATTTTCAAACTGTCACACAGAGTTCAACACAGTAGCCTTTGTGGTATAAGGTGTGTTGATAGTCTTAATCCAGAGATAAAAATCCAGATTGCCTGTATATTTTTGATATATATATTTCTAACCCTTTAACTTGTAGTTAAAGGATGTCTCGTTTTCTTTCTCTGATTTGTATCAATGGAAAAAAGCAAACACAGGTTTCTCAGCTTTTTGAGCTGAGAAAAGATAGAACATTTCAGGAACAGACTGATAACTGGAGATAAGAGGCGAAGTCTGTTATCTTTTTCCCTCGGTCATATGGACTGATAGGGTATCACTAACAGCCTTTCTTTATTGTTAACTTTTTAGTGTATGGTTTCAAATTATAACGCTGCACAACAAAAATCTGTGTAGTGATGTTGTTAGTCTTTTTTTCTTTTTTTCCCTGCAGGTATCAAGCATGATGGGACTATGTGTGATACTTGTCGACAGCAACCCATCATTGGCATCCGATGGAAATGTGCTGAATGCACAAATTATGACTTGTGCACAGTTTGCTATCACGGGGACAAACATCACTTGAGGCATCGTTTTTACAGAATTACCACACCAGGAAGTGAAAGGTAAAATGTAATTTTTTTTTTTCCCCCTGAAATTAAATAGGAACAGTTAGTTGTGGTTAACTTCTAAACTGCAGATTTGGTTATTGAAACTTGGAGTAAGCAAGATAGTGGCTTGAGGCGTAGATTCTGTTATTGGTTTACCTCTATGTGAGGCAAGGTAGCTAGGACAGATCTTTGGAACTTGGAAAGCGTGGAAATTTTAGGAAGAATGGAGTAGAGAAAGAAGTTAAGATATTATTCAGTTTCTTTTAACCTCATTGCAGTCTTCCTAGTTCTTGTGTTATCGTATAGCAGCTTTAAAACAAAGGCAGTTATTTTTACACAGTGTATAATCACAAAATGATTTGTCAGTGAATTCCTGAATGTGAAAGTTTGCTTAAGTTTAATCAAAAATGGTGCAGGCAGATTGAGGTGAAAATACACTCCTTGTGGGCTATGAAGAACAGAATGATCTGGAGACAAAACCTCTGACTTGAACTGCTTAAACTTCTGACTATAGAAAGCAGAAAAAGATACTGTGAAGGGTTGTTCTTCATGTTCTTTTCTTCAGCATCTATTATCATGTCCCAGTGAAGAACTCTGAACAAAATTGGCGTTTAGTGTTTTCTTGCATAGCTGTTCTTGTGTTCCTGACTTTAAACAACTTGTTTAAATCCAAAGCCCCTCTTTGTTATGATTTATCTACTGGTTAAGTGAAAACGGTGATATTTGCCTGTTGCTAAATACTTGGAGAGCTATGGTAAAGCATTGTGTAAAGGCTACATGCTATGGTATCAGCTCTGTGAGAACTCTCCAGAATGTTCTTTCCTTAAATAATTGGAAGCTGTTTTTGTTAGATACGATCATCAGTTAAATGCCACGTATGTACAACAACATTTGTTTCCTCTGGGAGAAGTTAGGTTTACAAACAATGTTGTAATTTAGTGATGTGCTTTTATTGGTACGTTTACGGTTAAGGGAAGTGGTTGGAACACACAAACTGAGTTTTCCTATCGTCTCTTGTAGGGACTGTGTTTATTTTCTCAAACATTTGCCTTGAAGTTTAACTATGGCTCAAATGCCCAGGTCAGTGGCTTAATTGAAAAGTAACTTCTGTTTTTTTGAGGTTCATGCCAGCAGATCTAGAGACCAAATAAGTGTCATAAGCTTAGTGTTTCGATTATGATGTTTAATGCAGAACAAGACTTAGAAGTTGAATCCAGACTAGAAAGTGCTGGTTTAGTGTAATTAATAGAGAACAGGTAACAAAATACAGATCTGATTTTCTATTTATTTATTTTTCTAAAAAATCTCATTGCTTTTCAGAATGCTTGCCAGATTCTTTTTCTTTTGTATATGTATTTTTTTTTAAGCTGAAGTTTCCTTTGTAGTTTTAAATGGTCTGTTATGAGGTATAGATCATAAGTTTTAATTTTGTAGATAGATTGTAGGCAATGTATAGAATTGCAGGAAGTCTTTTGCATTTTGTTAGTTTCTCCCTACCTCTGTTTACTCCCATTGAGCTCTGTTTTGCAGCTCTTATTGAGGAGGCAGCTTCATCTGCCAAGGAGCTGTTTCTGTTTGGATCAAGCTTAGCTGTGAAAAATTGATTAACGTGAACTGTTTGAGGGAGGAGAAAAGGGCAAAGCAGTGCTATTAAATTTGAGGGATGTCTCATAGGAAAAATGGCAAGAGGCATCTAAGGACGTTTGGATGAAGGAAAGCATAAGCTCTACCTATTTTATTCTTGAGTCTGTGGGGTAACGTATTGACAGCATACCAAAGTAACGTATGCTGGTTTTTGTCTCAGTTTTGTAGGTGTTGAGAACTTTCTAAAACGCTGCCCTAAAGAACATATCTTTGCGTTTTCTATCACTCTTTTATATTACTTGGATAAAAATGGCTAGTATTTTCACGTCCTGGTTGCTTTGGTTCCAACAGTTTAACTTTTTCCTTGTCTGCCATCTGCTGGATGCTAGAAGTGTAGCAGGAGGGTGATACGCTTCCTGGAGAGGTCAGGAAACGGTCAGGATTTCAGCTGAAAAATACTTTTGTCTGGCAACATTTTCCTGGCATGAAGTAAGAAATCTGGTTGCATGCAAACTGGTGGCTTTTGAGGTGACTGAAAAGGCAGGAAAACGTTTGTCTCTTTGTTTCTATTTGTAAGTTAAATACTCATGAACTGTGCTGTTTGGGCTTATCTACTTCAGTTCTGTTGAAGTCAGAGGGAAAGAAGAGGTTCGCTTTAGAAAAAATAACATATTATGACTGAAAAAAAGGATGCTGATATGTTGAATTAAATTTGCCAAGATACTCTATAAGAAGTATGTAGAAAATAAAGTGAGACATGGAGGGGAAAGAGATGTAGCTCTTACTTAATAGCATAATTCTGAATGAGAATGGCAGGGCAATTGCAGGACAGTAGTATTGGTCTAGGTTACACCTGGGAGAAACAGAAATATGTTGTCCATATGGCTCTGTATGTTTCTCTGATGATTTTAGTAATGAGTACAGATTTATATGTAAGTGGTTACAAGATTATTGCTGGTAGTAGGAAGTTTGGAGAAGAAATGATCATTAGAATTAAAAAATAATTATAAGAGTACAATAACTCAGGTTTAGTAAGGTCATGGGTTTTTATCTTGTGGGCTGCTGTTTGAGTTGAGAATTGAATGAATGTGATTCATGCACTGAAATCTGCTTTTGTGGGGTTATTTTTGTTTCAAGATACTCTCCTGCCTTCCCACCCCCAAAGACTCATTTTGGACTTTCTTCATTATCTTGACATTTGTGGGTTCTTCTTTTAATAACTTCAGGGTATTGTTGGAGTCTCGCCGTAAATCAAAGAAAATTACAGCAAGAGGAATCTTTGCAGGTGCCAGGGTGGTGCGAGGAGTTGACTGGCAATGGGAAGATCAAGATGGTGGCAATGGGCGTAGAGGAAAGGTAAAAATAAAACTGGTTTAAATAAGAAGATGCATTTCTGCATGCTCCTGTAATGGCCTCAGTGGCCTTTCTAATTGTAGAGTAAAAATATCGTCATAAAAGTTACTATTTTAATTTGCTGGACATTTAAAAATCTTATTCTGTAATGCTCAAGCATTTAGAAAGAGGAGGGAATGTATACTATGACCGGTTCTTCTAAATTTTTATTTGTTTTCATCTTGATTATTTACTCCTTGCTGTGAATTTGGCAAGATGTTTTGAAATCTCCGAAACTTTGCAAAATAAGGGTCTTATCCTGCTTTGTCTGCTTTATGTACTAAACTTAATTTAATGGGATTATTTGCAAGCTGAAAATACATATAAATGCTTATAAGCATTTTCAACGAGGAAAAGCAGATGGTAGATAGCAGAAACAGCTTTTAAATACAAAGAAGAATGAAGACAAATTCTGGAAATTGTGGTTTGTTTTTTTTTTTTTAAATAATGGAAGTGTTTTCAGAATGTGGTGCATGGCCTCATGGTTTTAGAAATGTCAGGGAAAGTGCTTTTCACTCCTCCTTTTGCAATGTTGTTGAACAGATTGGCTCTGAATACAAAACTTTGTCCCCTAACATAGTGCACTGCCACTAGGCTAATACAGGTTAAACCAGACAAATTGAAGCAATTAAAATAATTTTCATCCTGTTTTTCTTAGTTAAATGCTGCTTCTAGTTAGAACGTGTCAAAGCATCAGAAAATAAATTTTTACGGTTCAGTATTTGTTCTCTACTTACATGGTTAGATTACCTACCAAATAAACAAAAGAAAAATAGGCCTACAAAGTCTTTATTCAGGCTGCCATCTTATTAAGACACCTAGGGAACACTTATATCGCACAGAAAACATCTTCAGAATACATTGTCTTAAATTCAGTAAAACTGCTGTATCTTGAAATATTCTGAAGAGATGAATAAGGCTTTAAGTTCAAATTGTGCTTTTAAGTCTTTGTTCTAGAAAATGTTTTCTTATTTTTAAAACTGAATAGGTAACTGAAATCCAAGATTGGAGTGCATCGAGTCCACATAGCGCAGCATATGTTCTTTGGGACAATGGTGCTAAAAACCTTTACAGAGTTGGCTTTGAGGGCATGGTAAGTATAAAAGAACATAAAGGGTAAAATGTGTGGTGGGGGAAGGGCAGTAAGAATAACTTGTGCTTTATTATCCTGCTTTTGTAATATCCTTTGTCAGTTTGCATGCTATTAGTCAGGTCATTGTGAATACAGCTGTACACATCATGCATATGTATTAGTAAGAAAGTCTGATCTGGGAATTTATAAAATGTGTGAATAACTCAAAGTTAAGGGCTTGTTTCTGCCAGAGTATGGTAAATGTTTACATCACATACATGATTATCTTACTGTGCTACTATTGTGCTTAAATTAGAATTCAGAAAAGAAGAATCTTAGTTATGAACTTTGTAAAGACCCTATTTCTTTAACTTCTGAACTCTTCAGTTCACTTCCAGTTTTGGTATGATTACTGCAAGATTTGCAGTTTTTATATTACTAGCAACACTCAGAATCCTCTTGAGAGCATTTTTTTTTTTTGTCAATGGAAAGGTGTTGAATTAAGTTACAACTTTAATTTACTTTAGCACTAAATTTTTCTTTTTCACTTCCTAGCTTCTGCAGCTACTTCTACAGCTTTAGAGAGAAAATGAGTCAGACTCTAGCCTAAGTGCCTTCTGTTGCTGGGTTTTCTTATCCTAATGTGGGTCAGGGAAAGGTTACTTTGATTATCAACTGCTTGTAACATCTTAATTAGCATTTTCTTTGCGTGATTTTTGTTTGATACTGCAGAGGAAAACCATGTTAACTTAACACCGAAGTGTCATCTCGTCAGATGTGTATCAGTAATAGAATGTTAAACAATGACTCGTCTACTTCTTTTGAAAGTAAAATATGTTGCCTTATAACCTCATTTGAAATAAAGTTTATTTTTATAATAAAAAATAAATACTAAATACCACTTTTGCAGTAAATACATATTTTACTGTCAGATTTAAAAAGAGTAAACATATTTAGTGCAGGTTGGCTTTTCTGATGCATGAAGATGCTAAGGATAAAATATAAGTCAGTATTAAATTATGTGCTTCATGGTCCCCCCCAGTTCTAAAGAAAATTCCTGATATACTGGCAAAAGGGGAAGTTAGATGTAGTATTTTGTAGTATAATATTATTAAACCAATGGTTGGTTATTGTCCCTCTTAGATTTGATTGTGATGCACGGAAAAGGAACACAACTACAAAATCTAGATAGAATGAGATACAGATCAACTGATTTTTTTTTTGCTGTTGCAATTTCAGTTACTGTGTTCAAACTTGTGGACTGTGCTGTGGAATCATTAAAGATTCCTTCTGGCCTTAGAAAAATATATTTAAGATAAGTTATATTCTGTTCTGAAATAATTATTCCCTTAATAAAAATACATTTATTATTTGTAAATCAGCTATATTCTGTTGCCAAACTATTGCCACATAAGGAAGTGTTAAATATTTCTAGAATACTTATTCAACTACTACAACTGTAAATTTGAATGGATAAGGGTGACCCTTCCCACAAGATTTGTACAAATAGAAATATTTGGTTAGTCATTTAATCAACATCAAAAAACTGTTAAAATGTGTGTGAAGCGTACATATACGTATGTATTATATGTACGTACATATGTATAAAAAGAATAATTTGAGGCTTTAAATGTAGTGCTTACCTTATTGTAATCCATTCCTACAATAATTTTATCTTTGTCAGATACTTTTATCAAATGCAATTTTTACTTATGACAGAATGGATTCTTGGATATCTGTGACAAATAGTCATTTGAATGTAATGCTAAATGTTATAACTGATGAATTGCTTGTTAAGTGTACAATTTATTGTGATTATTTACTACTATTTATGTGCTGTTATGTAAAGCTGTCTAATAGACTATCAGAAAGTTCATATAAAGTCGGGGCAAACTTGTTCTGGGACTTGGAAATTGGTTAAGAAAGTCAAGAGAATGTGGAATCACCCACACTCAGTGTGTGCCTGTGTAAATACAGCTGGGAAGAGACCCCTCCTTGCAAAGGAACAGCACTTGGCTCAGATGCAAATGGAGCTGATTAAAGAAACTCAGCTTATTATTTATTGTAAGTCAGGGTTGATTGTTTGATAGCTGACAGGCTGCATCTGGTCCTCAAAATTAATCTTTCTGGCCTGCCAGCTTTTCCTTGGGAGAGGTGAGGATTGGCTGGTGGGGCAGCAGGTGCTGGCTGAAAACTTGTGTTTATTTGTGGTCAGCTCCTTAGAGTTTTTATTTGAGTTTGCTGTTGCTGTGTTTACATATGAAGGGGTTGGGAGGGGTGCATCTTGCCTTGCTTTGTGAAGCCTGGCATTTAAATCTGGGAATTTCTGCTGCCACAGGCCACAAAGTCCCATATTGAAATCCGTTTTTATGATGCTGTTGGTTGAATAACATGTTAGCTACATCCATAGTAGGAATAAAGTACTGTTGGCTAATATGGTTATTGACACTGCTTGCAATTCATATCTATATGGATACAGATTCTAGAGCCAGACCAAGCTGTTAACCACATTACTTGCTTTAGAAATGTGTGTACATAGCCTTTTGCAATAGAAAGATACACTACGTGGAATTGGGAGTTAATGAGAAGACTGTGATTTAGCTTTTTGGACTTGTTTTTATTTCTTCATGTCACACAGCTGAGGATGTAAAGCTAGTAACTTCCATTGGTTTTCAATAACCATTATGTTCTACTACTAATTAATAGAATGATTTTGCTATAACAACTTAAGAAAATAATTCCATGAGCAGGAGTGCCCTAAATCAATTTCATTATTTAGGAATTTGTTTTGTGCTACCAGATTTCTTTGCTCTGTACCACTTGCCTTTTTTGGTGAGATTAACCTCCTCTTCTTGTTTTCCATTGTGGAGGATCTTGCTTTCATCTGTGTAGCCTCTGAAAGAAGTGGCTGTAGCTATCATCCGTCATTGTCACAGTAATCTGTAAGCCATCTGTGTTTGTGTACTTTTTTCCCCAAATTCTGAATAGTTGAGTGCATAAGGGAAATGGAGAAGATTCCTTGCCCTTGTGGTTTTGACATTACTTTAAACTTTCTTGTCCTGATTGATACCTAGTGTCTGTTCATCAACATTTATTTGAGTTACCCGTAAAGATAATCCTTGAAATTACTCTAGAGGCTTTTAAGAATGACTTATCAAGACTTTTTTTAAAATAAAAACAAGGTAAATGTCTTAGCATACTAGGCATTGAAGGTAAGTTATATAGAAGTATGCTTTCTGCTGCGGTTACAACTGTCAGATCTGTAGTATAAGTCAAATCTTCAGCTCTCTAGTCTTTCATTTTGTCCCCAGTGTGTTCAAAATGAGGGGTTTAGGAGGGAGTAACAAGAATTTTCATTATTTTGTTAGTTTAGTGTCCTTCTGTTGCTTCTAGGTGCTGATCAAAACTGATTTAAAACACAGAAACATGAATTTTGGCCACCTTTACACATGCAGCAGGTGTTTTTTATTATATTACTTGCAGTGTAGCCAAAGTTAGGTGGTTGGTTGTTTTGGAATCCAGAGAGGAAGGAGATATTTATGTATACCTTATGCCTTTATTTGCATTTGTCAGCAGACTTTGTTTTGCTTCTTGTTTATGTAGTCTTATTTTGCTACAATTCTCCTGTAGTCTTAACCAAGCCAAGTTTTTCATCTCTGTAACTGAATTGCTTAGAAACATATTTCCCTTAAGCAGAAATGTACTTACTGATCCTTTTCCAATTTTGTTATTTACAGTATTAACCCACAAGGAAGGCTTTAAAATGATGCTCCTTTAAAAAAAAAAAAGTTACACATGGAAAGTTTTTATAAGTGCCTATAATCAATAGACAGTAAGGTTATAAACTGTTCACTCAGGAGTTGCCTGAGGTCTGATTTCTTCAGTAAGAAGCTGTTGCTGTTGTTTTTATACCTCATGCCTCTGTCATTTCAGTCACTTTCTCTGTCATCTTCTATTGTCTCCTTTTATTGCATTCACTTTTCTCAGCTTCCTGAAACTGACAATTATTTGAGTTCATTAAATTTGAAATACTGCATTTCTTATAAACTTTTACGTAAAACTTATGGAATTATCCAATCCCTTGTTGTCTTAATCAGGTGACAAAGTGGTATGTGCTGGGCTTTTTCGATTTGCCCTGTATTTCCTTGCCAAAAGCTGTTGTGAGTTTAAAGACTTAAAATGACCTGTAGTGAGTGTATTCATTGCTACCTCAAACACCTGCAGGTGTGGCACCATTCCTACTGTAAGATCAGTATTAATTTCTCTCCTGATATTTGCTGCTGGTGGTAGATGCTGTTTCAGTGCATCTGGATGAAACATTCTTCTTTTTCTTGGCAGCACACCCTAGTTTTCTTATCAAGTCTATAGACTCCCCTCCCTGGTTTGGATGAATGGCATTCCATATTGATTGGAATAACTTAATAGTTACTCCAGTAGGCAGCTGCTCCTTCAGCATTGTTTTCCTCTTCAAGGTCAGGGATAATGGCACTTCTATACCATCTACTAACGCTGCTGACATTGCTGTAACATACATTTTTTCATTTTCTGAAGTTTTTATGATGATGAAATTGCAACTGTTTTTTCAGTAGTATAACTGGGTGGTAAGTCAAACTGTAATGTTTTCTGTATTTACCATTTGGCTGAGCAGATCATGATATCTATGTAATCCAGTCACAGCTGCAATGCAGTTTTTCAGCAAGTCAGAAGGTAGATGCTAGAAGATGAAAATTCTCTGCTGAAGGCAAACCCCATTATTACCCACTGGTCTTGTGCATCAGCTGTTACTGCTGATCTGAAAGTCCTGCTGTACAGTGTTTTGTGCTGGTGCTATTCCTTGAGTTTTCATGATGATGCTTAACTGGGGCTTCCATCTCTTCTCTAACTATACACAAATTCCACAAAATCTCTAGCTTGTTTTTCTGTTTCCTTAAAGAATCCTATTCAGGGTTCGTTGAATGATTTCCTTATCAAGTTAGTGTATAAAAGCTTATGTTTTGTTTTCATCTTTGCATGTTTGTCTCCACCATGTGTTTACACCCAACCTCACAGTTGTTACTACTTCTGCGCACAGCGTCACCATGAGTCTAAAACTTGCATTTTAACATCCCTTGTGTTTTGGTGCATTCCCTTTTTGCATTTTTATGTCTCATCTCTGTACGATCTGCACTTTCAGTCCATTTACAAGACTGCGGGAGACTTTTATAACTTGTAAAAATCCAGGTGGAGTTCTCCGACGTGCGGTACAGCAGAGCTGGCTGAGCGAGCAGAAGAGCTGGCAGCAGCGATGTGCATCGGCTGTGTTTGTGCTCCATCCTCACTAGGGAAGCCTCTTGCCAGGCAGTCAATCCCCAGGGGAGGATGACCAGGAGCTTAACACCACCCCTAATTTTTTACTTAAGGTACTTGGGCAGAAGAAAGCTTCTTTTCCTTTTCTGATAAGTATGGTAGCTGAGTGCTACCATACATATAGTTGCTTACCCAGCTTTCGTGGTACTGAAGTACAAACCAACTAAGTAGGTTTCCTATCTTAAAACTCCAGGATCTTTTTTAGGTTTAGTTATGGGGTTTTTTTAAGATGTTTGCAGACCTTTAGCATGTTGATGTTACTTTTGTTAGTAGTGCTGTTTGCAAAATTGCTGAAGGAACTCTTTGCTGTGTATACAGTAGACAGAAGATGATCCAAGGGCTGGAGCACCTCTGCTGTGAGGACAGGCTGAGAGAGTTGGGGTTGTTCAGCCTGGAGAAGAGAAGGCTCTGGGCAGACCTTAGTGCAGCCTTCCCGTACCTAAAGGGGCCGACAAGAAAGGTGGGGAGGGGCTTTGTACAAGGGCATGGAGTGATAGGACAAGGGGCAATGGCTTTGAACTGGAAGAGCGAAGGTTTAGATGAGATATTAAGAAGAAATTCTTCATGGTGAGGGAGGTGAGGCAGTGGCAGAGGTTGCCCAGAGAAGCTGTGGCTGCCCCATCCCTGGAAGTGTTCAAGGCCAGGTTGGATGGGGCTGTGAGCAACCTGGTCTGGTGGGAGGTGTCCCTGCCCATGGCAGGGGGCTTGGAACTGGGTGGGCTTTAAGGTCTCTTCCAACCAGACCATTCTGTGATTCTATGTATGAGTTAGTTTCTTACTGCCTTAATCTCTGTCAAGTGCCTCATCTTTCTGCGCGTTTTGAGTCCTCAGTTTTTTGGTGAAGGCCTATGTAAATAAAATTACCTTGTTTTTCTGTGATACTTAGATCTGACTCCTGTTTTACTTGGCGGTCTAACATTGACTTCATGATGTAAGTGAAAGGAAGACAGATGTGAAGCGGAGGTTCAACATCAAGCTATCACTTAGTTTCACAACCAAGTATATCATTACACTCCAGAAATAAACTGTGCACAGGACATGGTACAGGCAGGGTAAAAAGAGAGTGCAGATTTCTACATTTCTGGGTTTGGTTTTTTTGTTTTGTTTTGGTTTTTTTCTATAAAATGTAAGATATTTTAACCTCCTTCCTAATAATTTCTGCTGCAAGATAGTAATTAGGCTGTTGCTGAATATTTTATTTCTTCTGCTGGCTTTTAGCCATCAGTCTGCTCTGTACATTAACACTTGCTGTAATGCAAGCGATCTTTCACTGAGATTTGGCCTGACTGGGAGGAGAATGGTTTAGGACCCTCTTAATGCTCTCAAGAATGTGAAAACAGCTTTTGCACGTGTACCTCTTCCTGACTCCCACACAGACAGCTGGCTGTTACACGACCTGAAGAGTTTGTATTCAGTGGGTGAGACCAAGAGCTCCCAGGCACATCAGATCTCTGTTGGTCTGGGGGAATGAATGGGCTTGCCATCTGGGATGCTCAGCTCAGCCCCTTTGTCTTTGTCCCAGTTAAACCCAGCACCTGCCCACTGGGCAGCAGCATTTTGTCGCAGGCTTTCTGCTGCTGTACTGAGCAAGCTCTGTCTCTGGTTTCTTGTAGGATTTGAAGAGCGGCTGAATCTCATTCTTTTCATCTGGCTGTTTTCATCACTTTTTCAAAAAGTGGCAGTACATTCTTTGTAGATCAGGATATACACTGAATTTTGCATTGTTTCTGGCTGCTTAGCAGTTACAGGTTGCTGAGGGTAGTATTGGGTTTGTCAGTGCCTTGATGATTTGGAAGACTTGAGAGTTTTCATTTTAATCCTTTTACAGAAGAACAGTCTTGTCAATAAATCTTGGGTGTGGGGAAGAATAATTGTTAAAGTATTTGTTTAGTTCTGGTTGATTATATCATAACCACCACCTGTCCTATATTTCCTCCCCTATCCCATAGAATATTCTGACACACTTTGCAAACTGTTTCCTATCCCCTTCCCAACGCATTGTGCACACAAAATACCCTTTGTGTAGTGAGAGTTGTTCCGTAAGGAACAATGGCAGATGGTAGCCATTTGACTTTAAGGGTTATACAGGGGAAAAACTAGAGGAAAGGAGAATTATAGGAGCTCTGTTGGCTTTCTGGATAGGAGTTGGTTATCACACTTAACTTCTGTTTCTCAGATAATATCAAACAGTCTTTCTGGAGGATGAGCTTTAGAACTTTTCTGTTTAAAAAGATCGTGTTTAGCTCAGCATAGTGGTGTTTTTGTTTTGTTTCTTTAAAAAGTAATATCCTTGTGTTCTGTATATTCTTAATTGGAAATTCTTAATTTTGTAGAAGTTGGGTCCGGGTTCTGTAAGTTAAACATGTATCTGTCAAAAAAGATTGGTAAGAGGGGGCAGCACTGGCAGGCATTAAATGATTGGTACAGGAAAGGCTGTGGCCTCGAGCACTATCTGCAGATGTTTTTCTTTGTTTCCTTGCTTGTGTCTACAGACTTTTTAAAAGGAAAGGTAAATTTATAGAACAATGCAAAGAAGCTTTGTATTATTTTAATACCTACCTTTGAGTTAATATCTCATCCTTTATAGCCTTTTTTGTTGGTGAAGGTTATTAAAATCTTGGGAGTGTCAAGGCTGATAGATTGGAAAGTATTTGAGATTAATTGCATCAATAACAAATTCATGAGGCATGCTTTTTGTACACATAATTTTCATCCTTTCTTAACGGAGTGTATTTCAGTTCTAGTTTCACTGACTTACGTTAACCTGGAGACTCAGAGAGGACTAAAGTTGTCTCAATCTCTCTCCGTAGTCTGACCTGAAATGTGTTCAAGATGCAAAAGGAGGTTCTTTCTACAGGGACCATTGTCCTGTGTTAGGTGAGTTGAAGATAGAGTAAATTTTTCTTGATGCGTGTTAATTATAGTCTAGATTTCTCTTTCCTTTTTAAATGTCACCTAAAAAGACTGCCCTTACTAGTGAAATATAAATGGTAGCAGTTCTATGCATTAATGATAAATTGTAACACTTTTCTAAATGTGTTTGGTATCAGTGTGCCCAGTGGAGCTCTTAAGTGTTACTAAGTAATAATTTGAGTAACATGTCTTGTGTGCTGTGTTTCTAAAAAGCTAAACATGACTGTGCATTCTTCTAAGACTTTCTTAATTATTCAGAGATGTTCAGTGAAGTAGCATGTACATAGCCATAAACAGGAGTCATTTGAATGTGTAACTTAACCTGTTATTTTATACTAATACTAATCCATGTTGTGAAATCTTGGTTGAGGTTTTCCATATCAGCTATTGCACTGACTTATTCCTCTAGTGTCTAATCACTAAAGGTAGTAGGAGACTATTTTTTGTTAAATTCTTCCCCTTCCACTATATTAAGTTGCCCTTAATGGATATCGATGGACTCAGTTCATCATTCTTGCAGCATTATGCTCCGTCTTCCCTCCCAGTTTTGAGGAAATGTACAGGGTCTGATAGTGGCCTGCTAAAGTGGTTAAGAAACTGAGAGGACATGGCTTGCAAGGAGGAGGAGCTGGGCTTGTTTAGTCTGGTAAGAAGGAGATTAAGAGGTAATTAACTAGCCACCTACAGCCACTTGAAGGGTGGTTGGAAATGATGGCACCAAAATTTCAGTAATGGCAAATGGCATAAAACCAAATGTCCTTTGCCAATGATGTTGCCATTCAACTCAATCTACACGACTTCTGCAGTTGCTGTACTCTCCACTTTTCTGTGGATGGCACCAGATACCATCTTCTGGTTCTGGCAGTGAGGAGACCCACAAGTGTGTTCTTTCATGAGTTAACACATCTTGATGTGTGCGAATGTGTGCCATTTCCCTCCAGATAATGAGTTTTTGCTGTGATGTATCTTTTGAAAGCAGGCATTGTCCAGGGAGAATGTTTTAATTTTAAATTTACAGGTTTTTTTTGTTTGTAGTCATCTCCCCGCTTTTAAGATTAAAGGTTTTCATTGTTGGTTATTTTGGAGGTGGTGTTTTTTTGTTTGTAGTCATCTCCCCACTTTTAAGATTAAAGTTTTCATTGTTGGTTATTTTGGAGGTGGTATTTTGCCATGCTTTCTACACATTCAAGGACTGACCCAATTCAAAACCACTTTCTGTGGGCCTTCTGCTTATCTTTCGGCCTCTAAGTGGGTAGATGGCACTCTGTGTATGACTCTGAAAATTATCAGAGCTTTTACGTATCTAGATGTCTAACACCATGATAGCTGTTACCATTCCAGTTAGAGCCCATAGTGGAACCTGTCACAAGTATTTAGCATTTCCCAGTGTCATTACTGTTTGCCTTGAAACTCAACAAGAAACACACAATTCCATAGCCAGAGGTTCAGAGTTTGTTTTTTACCTGTTCAGTCCCTTCTACCTATTGGCCACTACAGTTGCAGAGACATTAAGTCTCAGAAATTAGCTTCTGTTCTTTAAATTGCATGGAAAATTACTGTGGTAACATCATCTTCTTATTCCATTTCAGGTGAGCAAAATGGTAACAGAAACCCTGGTGGGCTGCAAATAGGTGACCTTGTAAACATTGACCTTGATTTGGAAATTGTACAGTCTTTGCAGCATGGTCACGGAGGATGGACCGATGGCATGTTTGAAACCTTAACAACAACTGGAACAGTTTGTGGCATTGATGAGGATCATGACATTGTAGTACAATATCCAAGTGGCAACAGGTTTGTTATATAGCCTTCTTCATTGATTCTCACAAACTTCTTTTTCCTTCAGCACTTGTGATCACTTGGTACCAGAAACTTCCTGTTCTCCTTTTGTGTCTATTAAGATTTCCTTGACAATTTTTATATTCCTTCTACAATGTGCGATGAGGACTTACCTTTAAAGATGCTTTAGTGGGAAAAGGAAGTTTGTTGCCTCTCTCACTTGATGAAAATTTGAGTCTGGAATAAGGAATGATGTTCTGCACTACCTTATTTCTAAAATGTAGTGTTTTAAGCAGTAATTTCTTTCTTAATTACGAAGTATCGCATGGTTTCAAGAGGAATAGTAATAGCAATGTGTTGCGGGTTTTCAGGAAAATGGGTTAAGAGGACAGTTGACAAACCTTTTATGTTGGGGACCTTGTCTAATATAGAGTGACCTCGGCATGATCTATATCTAGCATTTTATTATTCAAAGGAATGCTAGTTTATGTAAATATGGACCAAAAATGAGCAGTGTTAGGGAAGCTGTTGCTAAAATCGCTCCCTGCTAGCACTTTAGGTTTGAAGTTTGATGAGCTGCATGTGTGCTAACAGGATTCAAACCCAACTGTACAGCTGAATCTGAGCTGGTATGTCCACATGGCTTTGTGTTGTCTTGCTCTCGAGTATTGGGCTTATCTTTGACAAGCAGCTGATGAATGGAATATCGTTTCAGTTGTATCCCTGCTAGTGCTTTAGGTTTGAAATTTGATGAGCTGCTTGTGTGCTAACAGGATTCAAACCCAGCTGTACAGCTGAATCTGAGCTGGTACGTCCACATGGCTTTGTGTTGTCTTACTCTCAAGTACTGGGCTTATCTTTCAAAAGCAACTGATGAATGGAATATCGTTTCAGTTGTATCTGGAGACTGACCTGTTCTTTTTATCCAGATGCTTTAGGTTTGAAATTTGATGAGCTGCTTGTGTGCTAACAGGATTCAAACCCAGCTGTACAGCTGAATCTGAGCTGGTACGTCCACATGGCTTTGTGTTGTCTTACTCTCAAGTACTGGGCTTATCTTTCAAAAGCAACTGATGAATGGAATATCGTTTCAGTTGTATCTGGAGACTGACCTGTTCTTTTTATCCAGAAAGGATTAACAATGTATTATTGATTCAGGCTTTCCCTCAAGATATTGTTTGTTAATATTGCAAAGTAAGGTGAAAAAAATCTGTTTTCCCAGCTAACACAAGCTGAAGGGATGCAGGTGGCTTTTCTTCTGACCGTCGTGGCCGCAGAGCCAGTGAGAGGAGCTGCTCTGTATTGGGGTTTCTTCCCTGACTTTGTCTTTCATAGAGATTATCCAGTGCTTCTCAACTAGATCAGAGAGCTGAATGAAAGTCAACCCGAGACCAAATGGCACATAAAGAGAGATCACCATATTATATATTAGAATACAACTCAGCATGAAAACAGCTAAATGCCTCTAAACCAGTAAAATTTATAGTACAAATTAGGATAGTTGGGTTAAAAATTGAGGTGTATCTAGGGCATCCATTTAATTGAAGAGTATTTTTATAACTGAATGTTGCAGCTTTTGACCTAGGAGGGAGGGGGCAAAATTCCATGTTCTTCCCATGTTTCCTGACAGTCCAGTCCTTTGTGAGACAGCTTGGATCGTCCCCTTTTCAACCAGAGTTGTCTCCTCCTCTCCCTGGAAAAATAAACAAACTGTGTAGCTACTTTCAGGGTTATTAGATTGCTGTCAGCTTGTTTCCACTTCAACAAGATATTTCTTCATTGCTTTTACAAGTGTACATCTCTGAAGATTATGCTGGAAATACTCAACTAATGAGCCACAGAGAAGTTTATGGACAAAAAGTGGTTAACAACAAATATGCCGTAGCATCCAATTGCAGAAAGTTTGTAGGCATACAATCAGAATCCTCTCCAACAGAAAATTTTTAAACATGTATTTCACTTTGCATGTTTAAAATCTACTTGAAATGATTCATTGTCTAGGTGGACGTTTAATCCAGCTGTTCTCACCAAAGCCAATGTTGTCCGAAGTGGAGATGCTGCTCAAGGTGCAGAAGGAGGGACCTCTCAATTTCAAGTGGGTGACCTTGTTCAAGTATGTTACGACTTAGAGCGAATCAAACTCCTTCAGAGAGGTCACGGAGAGTGGGCTGAAGCAATGCTTCCGGTAAGTAGTTGTATGTTTGGGTTCATAGAATGATAAAGCTTGTATAATATTTCTAGTTGTGATTGGTATTAATACTTGGAGGTTGTGGGAGTCAAAGTGATTTTTCTTCTGAGTTAGAGGAAGTGTATTTCATCAAACATGGTGTAATGCTTGCTCAGATGTAGTAATCTACTTAGCCTGATGAAACTTTGCTAAAGGTATTAGTGACTTGTACTATTAAACGACAGACTTCATAGGAGTTATGACTTATTAAGCATTCAGATTTATAAATATTTTATTTTTAGTATTATTTGCATTTGATGTTTTCTTTAATGCAGACTTTAGGTAAAGTTGGTCGGGTCCAGCAGATCTATTCAGACAGCGACTTAAAGGTAGAAGTCTGTGGAACATCTTGGACATATAATCCAGCAGCTGTCTCAAAGGTGGCATCAGCAGGATCTGCTATAAGTAATGCATCTGGTGGTAAGTTTGAAGAATAGCAGTAATGTATATACGGAAAGTATTTGTGTTAATTAAAAAATTGTTAATAAGTACTAGTACATAGTGTGTATGCAAGGTTAATAATACCTAGACTTGGGGTTTGGCTAATTGATGTTATACCTTTGAGAAAGAGACAAGAAAAAGCTTGCACTTGGTATGGAGATTTTGGTTATTTTTATCTTGATAAGATGCAAAAACTCCAAATCAAATTTGGGTTTCTGTTTGGCCACAGTGCAGGTATGTCTTTGGAGGTCTGCTCTGAGGACTTTAAAATTTAAATGGTTGGAAGGGATGTCAGATTGGAATAGGGACTAAGGCACGAAGAGAGTGTCTCTGGCTGTAGGAAGCAGACTCCCTGTTTAATAGGTCATGTGGGATAGCAAGCGAAAGTGAGGGATCTGTTACAAGTGGTTACTCAGGATAATAGTATTTCCTTAAAATTTCTGTCTTAAAATTTAGTCAGACATCCTTTGACTAATTACAGTGGGATTTTTTTTCTATGTGATCACATTTCAGTTCTGTTGAACCTGCTCTCGTTCATTTAATAACAAGGCAGAAAGACTATCCAACATGTTTTATGTTCTGTTGACTGTTTCACAGATCAGTTAAACTAGAATGTTTTTCCTTTTTTTTGGCCATAGCTAGCTGTTTTTTCCTCTCTACATATTTGCTTTAATGCCAAGAAACCTTTCTACACATTTTTCTAGACTTTTTCCTTGGGAGGCATAGATATAGTGAGTTTTCTGCAATAAAGACAAAGTCACAGTGGCCGTAAAACTAGCTAGAAGAGTAATATCACTTAGTATTTCAGATCACAGAGGGCAGAATATACCCTAAGTTAAGCTAGAAGACTGAAAAGCCTGTTACATCAATATGTAAATTCATGTTTTTACCTCATCCTCATGCTTCTATATTTTGTGGTAGACAAGCCATTTGTGGTTGTCAACTTTCTTTTGAAGTGTCTGATGTGACAGTCTAATTGTCTAAAGGGTATTGGAGTGCAGTGCTTACTCAGAACTGAGTAATAACTTACAGCTGCCATTTTATGGTGGTTTGTGTATTACTATGTACATGCATTTAGAAACATGACCAATTTAGCTGTTATTTTTCTGTTCTTGTGTGATTAGAATTGTAATCTTAATTGTCCTTTGTTTAATAATTATAGAGAGGTTGTCCCAGCTATTGAAGAAATTATTTGAAACCCAAGAATCTGGAGATCTCAATGAAGAATTGGTTAAAGCTGCTGCCAACGGAGATGTTGCTAAAGTGGAAGACTTGCTAAAGAGACCAGATGTAGATGTGAGTGTTCTGTTTTGGGAGGACCTGTTCTGGGGACCTGTAATACTAAAGGAAGTGAAGCTGTCCTAGATACTACTGACTGGCAAGGAGTATGTCTGCATAGAAGTGTACAGCTGGTTCCAATGTCTCTTCTATTTGTTATCCTATGAAATGTGTTGGGGGGTATGGAAATGGTGCTTTATACTCTCTTTTGCTGGACAGATTTTGTGTTCTATTGCCTGCTGTGAATTAGAATACCTTCCAGCCTCTGTCCGACAGAGCGTTGTTTGCGAATCGGGACAGAGAACCAAACACTCAACAATTAGTGAAGGGTCTTCATAAACTTCTTTAGTTTAAAGAAGTTCATAAAGTTCAATAAACTTCTTTTATTTTGAGGGGGATGGAAGAAAGGAGGATAGATTTTAGGGATTTTTGTGCTGCTGCTGTTGTGGGTTTTGTTTTGGTTTTTTTTAACTCACAAGGTAGATTATATAAACTGTTTGCTGTCAGATTCCTTTTACCAACTTGTCTAATCACCTAATACTGAAAAGTCTAAAAGAAAATGCATAAGAATTATAGGACTTGATTCAGGGAACATGTTTTAAAATCACGATCAGATGTTTCTCTCACTACAGCAGCAGTAATTCTTGCAGATAAGAGATCAAACTCCTTCAGTTCTGAGGATTGATTTGTAGCTCAAGATTGAACAAAATACTATGGTTTTTTATAGACTGACTGCTGTTGTTGCCATAAATTAGAAAATGAAGTTAAATATACTGTAGAGCAGAGGACTGGTATCATCATTCTGAGACCTGTTCTCAAAATCTTGCCTTTATAGTAGCCCAAAGATGAAAGTTTTTAATCCAATTATTGTTAAGGTCTTAATGTTTGAAATAAATCAATTTCTTGCTTCTTTCATTCAATCTAGCTAATGCTATAGAAATGAAACAGAATACCTAGGAGATCATCTGTATGTGCTAGAAAGGCAACTGTCTAAAAATTGTTCATTTGATACTTTCATATGCATGCTGTTGATTTAAGTTTTCTAATACGCTTGCATGAATACTGCTAAAGTGTTTCATAGGTATATATGTGTATCTTACAGCTTATCTCAAAGTATTGATATGCTTCCAGGTGAATGGACAATGTGCTGGACACACAGCTATGCAAGCCGCTAGTCAGAATGGTCATGTCGACATTTTGAAGTTGCTTCTGAAACAGAATGTGGATGTAGAAGCAGAGGTAACTTAAATATTTCAAAATACACTTTGTGTCTCCTTAAGTTTTAAACTCTGCTACATTCAGAAATAACAATTCTATTGGAGTTACCTTGTTTTTAAATGTCAGAGCAAGTGAAAAGCTGCTTTTCTTACTGTGATTATGCTCCCAGATTAACGTCTTACTAAGAATATTACAAAGGGTCAGTATCTAATTCTTTAGCACCTCTAAGTGAAATATAGTGCCAATATAACAGATCTATGTAAGCTAGTATGTGATTGTAGTGGATGGAAGCCCCTTCTTTATTTCCTTCATTTCAACAGTAGAATACAATAGGCTAGCACACTGCCTGTGGCATTCAGAGAAAAAGATGTTGTTGGATGCTGCATCTCCAACTTCAGATACTTGTAATGCTGCTTATATACGGTATTCAGTTAGGAGAAAGTTTTCCATTCTCAACTGAAGCAAGTTTGAGCAGAAAATAATAACAGTCTTTGTGTAGGAACTGCCAACTCTGCTTCCAGTTTTTCAGGTTTGTTTTTTTTTAACTTCATGGAAGGATTTCTTCTGTTTAGGTTTCTTAGAATTATTATTTGTGAGAAAATTATCTATCAGCATACTGTGGTATTTGCATTTTGAATTGATTTTTGCCTCACCTAGAATGCACTGATGTTGCAGCCTTTGCTCGTTTTGTGAAGCACAAGAAGGATGTGTCAAATTTCTCTTATTAAGAATATAAATTAGAGCCTAAGAGAATGCTTAGAAGTTAATAGTGTAGCCAGTCGTTTGCATAACAGAAAAATAAGTTTACATGCTTGGGCATTTAGTGTTATATTGTATTTGATATACAGAAGTTACAAGATATTAAAACATTAGTGAAGCAATAATGTAATTCTTGGAACATAAATTATTTTTATATTCACAGATACACCATTACTTTTTATAAAAGGTTTTCTGCTAAATTGTAGAGATGGCTTAGATCTGATGCAGTACATACTTGCTGTGGTCTGATTTCTGTGAAATAGCTTCATTTTAGAAGTAGTACTTTCACTGTAGTACACAGCATATGCTGTTACAAACTAGACTAAGCTGCTTTTCATCTCCACTGTGGGATCAATGCCATATTAATCAAGTGGTGGACTGATACTTTCTGGTATAAGGAAGGGTTAGAAGCATTAGAGAGGGAAGTAGAAGCACTGCTTAAACAGCTTCAAGATAATACACCTGGTAATCTGCTAGCAGTAGAATTGTTAAGAGCTTATGTTTGCTCAGGCTTCAGAAGTATTGTTAACATTAGCATTAAAAATTTTCAGGGATTTTGTTTGAATTTCCAAGCCTTTTTCATGTAACTTTAAGTTGCTTAAGTGAACATGGTATTCCTGCTTAATTATGTAATTGCATTAATTGTTATAATAATTATATATAAAATATGATTAGATTAATGATTATATGTTTCAGGCTTTAAAAAAATGTCAGCTGTATAGAAATTAGTGATGTGAAGATGCAGCAGAGCCGTCCCATTAAGCAGACAGCAAAAATTTAGTCCATTTACTTCACTGTTGTGGTCTGTGGCATGGAAGCAATGGATAAAATAGCCTGCTTTATAGCTAAGTTGGATATGTTTACACTTACAGTCACTGCTGCAGAGTATATACATTCATGATGACATTTTCTGGGGATGGCCTCATATTGTTGTCTCCTCTGTGCTTATGTCTGACAGCTTAATTGAGAATAGTCTAATTGTTATCTTGTAATTGTGCAAATACAATTTATTCTAAGAACTATTAATTTTTACATTGATGTGAAATATATTAGAAATGTATTACACATAATAAAAAAAACTTTTGAAAGACATTGCTGAAGGAGAGGCAAATTGATAAGAGAAACTAAGCTTACCCAAGAGAGACATCCAGTACACCCTTGATCAGTCATAATTTTCTCCTTACAGTTTTCACTATTTCTCTATTGTCAAAATTAGATCCTACAAATACATAGTAATATTCCACTGTGCGCAAAAATTTAGTTAGAAACTAGCTTATGGAAGTTACTATTTCATTGAAATCTGTTATGTACCTTCTATTTTACTTTTAAATTTTGTATACTGTCATTAATGTTGAAATCACTTATTGATATTTTTAAATGTTTCGGGTAGTACAGTCCACTCTTAAGGATGTTAAAATAACCCAAACTGACAAATTTGATGAAATGCAGATGAATCTATTTGAGTTTGATGAACACATCACACAAAGATTCAAGGCAATAGTTGTATATGGTGTAGAATGTCATATGTCATAGAATATTTATGTTTGTATATGAACAGACTTCATCCTCTGCTGCTGTGGTTTGAGCAATTGTTTTAATAAGGTATTTGAATGATATCATGGTTGTCTAATTTTTCTTTCTCTTTAAAGATATCAGATATGCACAATTGATCAGTTTAATCTTATTTAAATGCAAAGGAAATGTGGAATATACTGGGTCAAATTAATGTTTCCACTTTAGGACAAAGATGGAGACAGAGCGGTCCACCATGCAGCCTTCGGTGACGAGGGTGCTGTGATAGAGGTTTTGCACAGAGGCAGTGCCGATCTGAACGCTCGCAACAAACGCAGGCAGACTCCACTTCATATTGCTGTCAACAAAGGTCATCTGCAAGTTGTGAAGACTTTACTGGACTTTGGCTGCCATCCTAGTCTCCAGGTAAAGTAAATGTTAATATAGATTCACTTTTTAGCTACTGAATTTTATGATTTGCTGTATGTAGATGCTGTATGTAGGCGATAGAAGAATAATGGAAAGTGGAATTGAAAGGAATGGACCTTCTGAAGTTATCTGTCCCAGCATCTATATCAACATGTGATCAGCTGTGATAAAAATGCTATTAAATCTGTTTGTTTTCTTGACAGCTGTATAGACACCTGATTTATTCTAACCAGTTGATGCTAATTGGTATTTTCACAGACTGTAGTTATCTGTAATTGTTAACTTTCTCTCCAGATTAATTCCTCCTCTATCAAATCCACGGCTGTTTGCTCCTTCTGCAAGGCACAGCTTTGCATTTTTTTGGCTGATGATACTGTGGAATGTTTCGTTAAAAGAAACCTTTTTTTCAGAATTGACTTATCATTGATACAACTGTTTAACCAGATTATCTTTTAAAAATATTCAGCCTTTTATCTAAAAAAACCCTCATGCATAGGGCCTCAAGTACCATAATTTCACAGGGATCTTTATCTATAATGGATGTGGCGGGAGATGACATGAGTGCAACCTCCTGTTGAGAAGGTAGAGTAGAAACCTATGAAATAAGCAGACGTCCACATTCTGCATGAGCTGAATGCAACCCCATGCAGTGCATCAGTAAAACAAATCAGAATGGGTGAGTTTGAAGAGGTTTGCAACAGAAAGAAAAAGCTGTAACATCCTGGGCAAATCAAGATATGCAGTAATAACATATTTACCTCCTTGTTTTGCCATGTCAATAATCAGAGATTTATTTGAAGCTGTATATCCACATAAAAAACGATGAGCAAACTTTCTTGAAATTGGTGAATAGAGTAATTATTTATCTGGTTCCACCTGGCTTTATAGGTACTGTCTTGATGTTGCTGAGGTTGAGCTGTTAGCCAGCTAACATCCATCCAGACCCTATTTAGTGTTTGTTGAACAGTCTGGTGTGTTGAGCCCAATAAAGGGTGACTGTATGTCATATAATGATGTATGATATATGGGTAGTCAAAATGGTTATGTCTGACTTTAAATTATAGAAGTCTGTTTGGACTGAAAAATTCAGTAGGATGGTGCTATGAAACTCCACCTGGAAAATATAATTGTCATTGAAAATAATGAACTTTCAGATCCTGCATGCGTGCTGAGGAACTCCAATGTGCAAATGTGAGTAGGCGATTGATTTGGTGGATGAGAGCACAGGGAAGTCAGACTGAGGCATGACTGGAATTTAACTGGCCAGCGCTTAACCACTCAAGCCAATTCGCTGGGTGAACAGAAACATATGTTAGTCTGTAAACAGTAAACTCAGGAAATATGATCAGTTAAACCAAATAAAATCTACATAATTTAGTTTTGGCAAACTGGTTCAAGTGTTTCCATATTCTGGCACTTCTTGTTTGACAGTTTTTGATTCTCACTGTAAAGATTGTAAAGATTTGTTTTCGTATTAGTGTATTGCTAAAATGTTCAGTTCCTGTGTTAGTCAGCTTGCGGTTGAGTCAGTGTCAGTGACAGAAGACTTCCTGACTTATATGGTGTTAAAATTTTACTGGGAGCATAAATCTAGAGAGTTTGCCTATATAACAGCAACTAAGCTTAAATGGATGTGTTTTCTCACTGTTAGTCTAGGACGTTCCTTTTCAGTCCAGCCATTTGAGTCTTTGAATAAGTAATGTGCAAAATGCTTCTAGGAATAAAAAGTATTTTTCCCTTATTTGGGATATTTGAAAAATAAAATGTCAAGCTAAAAATATAAATTCTTTGCCTGTTCAATTATGCACCAAAATATTTTCATGTACCTTGTGTAATGTAATCTGGTATTAGCCATAATGAGTTTAAAAGCTTAATATTGCTTATGACATTGGCCTTTGCTTCATGGAAAATGATCTGCTTCAGTTAAAACAACAGATGTGCCTAAGTTTATTACTTGGACTGCATTTTATTTTTATTTGCTTATGCTTTTATTTCACACTGTTTTCTTGGTATTGTCTTTTACGTTGTTAATTGCTGGCTCAATCTTGACCTTCATCACTCAAAATTCCCTGTCTTCCCCCTGCCTGGCTAGTCCCTATTGTGTTAATTTTTGCTGCTGTCCTTCTGTTACTCATAAATTGTAACTAAGGCATCAGCTCCTGCTGGATATGAGGCGTAGAGAAGTTGATGTTTACACCAGTGTTTTCAGTACTGTTAGATGCAAGGCATGCTTGAGTTCTGGTAGAAGTGTCATCACAGAAGACTATGCAAAACCCAGAGCAAGATCAGAAAGTAGCTTGCTTTGAACTCTGCGGTATAGCAACACTTTTAGGTCTGAAGAACTGTTTTGTGTTTGTATAGTCAGTTTTCCTAGTGATATTTAAGCATCTTTTTTCTCTAATGTGAGTGCATGCAAAAATTGATGTAAGCTGTTTCTGGTTTTAGGATTCTGAAGGTGACACCCCACTTCATGATGCCATAAGTAAAAAGCGTGATGACATCCTTGCTGTATTGTTAGAAGCTGGAGCAGATGTTACTATCACCAACAACAATGGGTTTAATGCTCTTCACCATGCTGCACTAAGAGGAAACCCTAGGTAAAAATTGTTTTTAAAGATTATTTTATCATTTGTAAAAGGAGAAAAAAATGCAGGGGAGGGTAGAATTATGGTCTTTCAAAAGATCCTTAAACCTGCATGCAGTTATTTCTTAAATTTTGATGTTGCTTAAATATGCATCTTTCTAATACTTGGGAAGCCATTATTAGAATGAAGCTACTAGTCTGCTCAGTTTAATGCTATATTAAGATAACTCCAAATCTCTAAGAAATACCATATGGTGGCTGTAAAATTTTGCCAATAAACGTTTTGGTGATTAAGTTATTAAGTAAGATCTTAAGATAGGATTTGTAAAAATGTTTCCCTTCTCAGATATTGGAATTGGGAAAGGGATTTGAGTTTTTAAGAAATACATATTTGTGAATAATTATTAAAGATACTATGCAGTTATAAAGTGATCTTAGGATTGTTGCATTAAATGGTATTGGTCAGTATAAGAAACATTTAATTTTGTTTTCTTATAAGTATGTATAGAAGGAATTTCTTATTTCAACTTCTATATAGCAGCTTATTTGGAAAAGTTAGTTTTAAGGCATAATTTTTTTTGTCCTAGCTGCATACTCTACATCTACATGCAAACTCCAGTTAAGATAGCTTTCAAAAACTATGTTGCTTAGATAGAACTTAATGGAAAACTTTCTGCGTTGCTGGTTACTTATTATGTTGTGGATAAATGGGCTTCTTCAGAGCTGTCAGTCTAGCTAGACTTTAATATATTAATTGTGTGGTAGAGAATTTGGTATGAAATGAGAAATGTGAAATAAGAAATGTGTGTGTGTACTTGTTTAACTACTAAATTCTGCTACTTTTCAGTTGAGTGAAATTGGAGAAATAAGGCTGTATATTAGTGTACGTGAATAAAATCTGGGTTAATCTCTTAGAAGAGACTCTTAGCTATCAAGATTGATAGTTAAAAAGTAAACATAAGCGTTTACGTGTGTATGTGGAATGGAATCACACTTCACGAAATAAAAGTAGTGGTTGGAAGTGTTGATAGGAACAATAAATGTGTTTACGATTTTCTGCAGTGCTCATAAAAGGTCTATAAGAGAACATGTCACGGACCTAGTGAAGGGAGCTTATTTTTGGCATTCAGGAGACAATTCTTTCAAGTCTGACTTGGTAACTGAACCACTTAATGTGAATTCTCCATATTTATATAACAGCATTAGCCAGGAGTACTGTTTCCTGTCTCCAGTTACCTAGATGGGGTATTGTTAGTTTTTTTTTTTGTTCTGCGATGCTTTCCTTAGGCCCTTGTGAGATGCAGGGAAAGTGTACGGGGGGGGAAAAAAGATCTTCATAGGGATGCTGAAGATTTTTCTGTGGGTGAATGTTTTAGGAGCTGCAGGCTTTTTCTTTGATGAAGGGATCCAAATAGTAGTTCAGACAGGGTCAGTTTGATCGTTGGCAGAATGTGAGGCATAGTGCAATTTTTCCCAGAGTCCTCTCTCCTTTACAAAAGCTTTTACTGGAAGAATGGGAAAATATTTCCAGTATCAGTGATTTGAACCCCATGTTGGTCACCCCCATACATGGATTTTTCACTTGCATCTAAAGCTCTTAGATATCTACTTTTTTGGTTGGAGTTATATCTGGGCACATCTGAAGTATGTAAAAAGAGAGAATCTTGTCTCCATCACAGAAGTAGTAGTTTCATTTGTTCACAGCATTAGATATTTTACACATCAACCTGGGAAGAAATTAATGAAAATGAAACCAAAAGAAATCTATTTTGAAAAATTTTAAACTTTTTTGTTTGGCCAGGACAAAAAAATAATTATAATAATTTGATTCATTTAGGAGTTAAGTTTTATTTTCTTTAAGATTTTAGTGATAGTCTTTTATTTCATTGTTGGTTCTGTAGTTCTGCCACTGGCCTCTTTCTGAATGAAACCAAAGGTTTTATATTTGCCACTTTGGTTTTCTAATCTGGTATAGAACAATAGATATTACTAATCTGTTAAATGCACTAAGCACAAGATATTTAAAACACTGTTAAAAATAACCACCTGAACTTCAGCTTGTAGCTGATATGGGTCACAAGCAGTATGTAATATATTCTGCTTGAAACCTCACTTAAGGACCTATGTTTCCTAATCCAAGCTTTCCCGCTCTGCCTAAGCTGGAGTTTTTGTGGCTTCAAGCTGTGGTGCCTTATATGGAATACAGTGCACTAAATTCTCCTTAAGGTCAAATATGTAAATATATAAAATAACATTTCTTTAAGTTAAACATATATTCATAGATGCATATAAGTGTGTATGCATGTGTGTGAATATCTACATTTATAAAAATAAAATACTTACTATGTATGTAAGTATTGTTGAAGTTGACATTTGTCTTCCTAGTTGCTGATAATAAAATAAATGCATGTGTTAAGTGCATGGATACCACCATAAAGTGAACTAGATTTCTATAGAATTTTTTATGATTGATATCAAACAGGTATTTGGAACCAATTTCATTTTCAGTGCAAAACATATTCTGCTTCTTGCTTGATTTCTGACCTTTACTAACAGTAGGGAAATAGGTCTCCAAGGGAAAAACCCACGCAAACTGTGCTGAGAACAACATTTGGAAGCTTTTTTTTCATATGAAAATTAATACTTATATTCTGTTTTAAACATTCAAATATTAGATAAATACTATAAGAAAGACAGTGATTTATGTCGAATAGCTTAGTTATTTCTCAGCACTTAATCTTCCATGGCAGTTCGGCAGTGTTTTCCAAAGTCAAGGCATAGTGTGTTTTGGAGAGCATCCTGTTATTAGTGGAATGTTTCTCCTTTTAATAGTTTGCTTCTGTTCATGCTTTGTGAATTGATATAGAAACAGACCTTTTCTTCATGATAATGTGTAATGTTGAAATGTAGATTGGACAGTTTGTTGTAGGTAGCTTTAAACTTGTGCATGGGAGATAGAGCTAAAAAGAAATTTGAAATGAATTGTGGGGAACTTCAGATTTTGTTTAATACACTGTTTCTTGTTCATGATTTTTAACTGAGTCAGTCATATTAGAAGTGCATTTATTTTGGAATTTTTTCAAAGTACTTTGAACCTCAAAGCTTGGCAGACTTTTTCAGTGTTAATGAGACTTTTCAGACAGAAAAAAGGAGAGTAAAATTTGAAAGTACTGTACAGATTGGTTGTTTTTCCCATGTTATCAGCTCTTGGTTATGTTTGATCTATTCACATACCTGTGACTTCAGATTTTTGAGCTGAAGACGCGACTGTGAAGCGTAGGCGTATTTTATATCCGTTGCCCCAGTTAGTTTTAGATTTGCATTGTATCTTGTGAAGAGTGCTTTATTCACGCTGCAGCTAGCATCTTAAATAGAGGCTGCTTTTAGAGCTGACCTGACTTTGCACATGCATACAACTAGTTCTTCAGAGCAATAAATTCTGCTGAATGTTAAATCAAAAAATTAAAATCTTGGGGTAAGGTGCAGATTTCATATATTGCTGTCCAATAGCAAGGAGTACGTCATCTTTGTGTTCATAAACTAGCAAGTAAGAGATTGTGATTTAAAATGGAATTGTAATTTTTCCCCATGTCTCCTTGTTTTTAGATTTGCAGATGGTTTGAACTGGTTGGCAGTGGAATTTCTAACTGTAGCGATTTATTTGAGAGGTAGGGTTTCTCAGCTCTACTTAGGGTTAATGAGTGTCTTAGGGACTTACGTGCTGTGTTGTCATGGAGGTCCTCAAAGAGACAAGTTGTGAGGTAATCGAAGAGTTGTACAAGTATTTTGTAAACCAGTAAAAGTGGGTTTTTGCTTTCATATTTGCAGTTCTGCCAGTAAGTGTAGGTTGAAGCTGAGTGCAAAAAAAAGCATGTTCCTAAAACCTCTTATTGAAGTATTATGTCAGAAAATGCTTTGAAAGAATACTTTTGTTCAAGTTGGTTCAGAGAAAGAATATAATCTCCGTGAGCAGACCTATAATTAGATGGCAGATTAGCCTGTAGCTGTTGAGGTCAGTGACAAATTTATTATCTTTAAATAGTAAATAATATGCCCAGCATGTACAAGATGGCAAATACAGTTCCTACCCTGTGGAGTTTCCTCGCTTGTGCAATTAAAAAAAAAAAGGGGGGGGGGGCAGGGGGGAGGGGAAGGAAAAGAGGGGTGCCCAGAAAGTAGATCTGTCCTACATTACCAATGCTGTTCAGGATTGCTTCCTTTCAATCAGTTTTTTTGGTCAGTTCTGCTACAAAGGGCAACAGACTTGAGGAAAAATACAAGACACAATAAATCGTTGGAAAATATGTTTATTTCACTGTTTACCTATCTTCTTTATAAATGTTGTAAGAGATCAGTTTTCACTGAATATGGACAGAATGTTAAACACTGGTAGCTATTTATTTACAAACACAACCTTGAAATTTGGGAATACAGCATTTGCTACACTCTGTTACCTCCCATCTTCAAGCTGCCTAGAATCATTGAACTCAGCTGCAGAAAGGACTGCATAATTACTCTGAGCAGACTTTAGTGTCCAGTTTTAAAAATACAAGAAATCCTGTAGTGATCAATGCATAGCTACAGCTGGTTGAAGGGGACCAAATCCATTGAAGAGGTGATTTGGTTCCATTTTACCAGCTTTAGCAAAGCATTGGAGTGCAGGAGGGTTATCATTCAGTAACACATTTTTAAGGACGTGAACAGTTCACAAAGAACATGTGGCTCGCTTCTGTGTTACATGTTTTGTTTCTAGTCAATGCAAATTTAAATTCCTTCACTGATTTTAGAGACGGCAAAATAGAAAGCTGTATACCAGAAAGGCCTGTACAGTATCCAAGTTTGTTCCTTCCTCAAGTATTTCCTTGAGGATCTTTGGATAAGTCTCAAAACTGTAACTATAATTTGATTTAACTTTTTTCTGTTTGCAATAATGAAATTCTAGAGTAGTGACCAGAAACCGTGTTCTTACAATTTCTACTCATGGAGAGCTCCCTCGCTTCTTTATGTTAAACGTTAC